ATATCTAGTGATAGGTGATAATCAATGAGGTTTCCACATGTGGAAATGTGCATATGCATTCATCCTGTGTATACATGAATGTATTTAAATTTTTTAGTAATTTGTTTTGTACAAGTACGGATCTTTTTCTACTGATTTTTACTAAAAAGTTTTTAACGGGACTTCTAGAAAGCAAATCTCTCATTTTGCAACAAAACTACCAAGCTGGCCCAAGATGAGTATTTTCTAACAAAGTCAGTTCAGTATTTGACTGATTCTTAGCACAGGTGCAGTCTGTGACCTTGCACAGCAGTTCACCCTTGTGCCTGATGTGCAGGTTCAGCTGCTGCTATTTGAGATGACTCCTCTTTTATTTTTCTTAAATGATAAATGCCCTATCTGCTTATTTAAAAATAACAAAAAACCCAAAACCAAACAAAAAACAACCAAAACATACAAACAACAAAACCCCATGAATTAATAGTTCATTTGAAGGGATAATGCATTGAAAACAAACTGTCCCCTTCTATTTAAGCTAAAAGACAGAAATTAGAAAACATCCTGATAAACAAATGTGCAGACCAAATTTTTGAGCCTTTAGATCCAGGCTAGTTACTAAAGGTATGCACAGATTTGCATGTTTACTGAAGCATGGAACTGTATCTGGAATACAGATTTGATAGGAAATGCTTTTAAATAGGTATTCTGAGTAATCAAGATCACTTATTAGTAAGTATTCTGTTGTGTTCACTGACATTCACAGACATAAAAAAAATAAGCTTCTGTTCCTTGAAAAAAATATTTAAATTATCAGGGTATTGTAAAAGCTTTCAGTTAGAAATGTAAAAATATTTTTCTGGGATCACCAAAATGCCAGATGGCAAAAGAGAAGCTTTCTACTCAATTCAGAGGCTGAATTAATCTCCTTAGCACAAAGAGATTTGCAATTACCATAGACCACAACAGAAAAATAATTTGCTGCACAGAATGAAGTTTTGTACAAGGTAATCCAACCTCAAGAGCTACACAAGCTTTTTGCTGAATTTTAGACACTTCCAGAAACCACAAGGAAACAAACTGCTATTGCACACAACATTTTAAGCTTAAGCAGTGGTGCTGACATGCCAGCACTTAGTTTCCAAATAAAGGACTCATGAAAGATTTTCCCAAAGCACTACACACTCTCTGAGGTATCATAATTAAACATACAGAAAACTTAATGAGGGAACACATGAAATATATGGAAAATACTGTTCAAAATTAATGCATAAACAATTTAAAGATCTCCTCTGCCCAGCTGTCCCTTCTGGTAAATATAAATACTAGTTTGCTAACAGAGACTTGTATACATAAAACATTTTGGCAGCAAATAATGGAAGGCTAGGTGGTGATCAATAAAATTCAGATAAGCTTAAAGTGGTGAATCCTTTAGATAATTGAGCTATGCAAAGACACTTTAGCATAACAACTTTTAAATGTAATTAAATTCCTATAAAATAACAGTCAAATTTTCTTCGTGCATACCCATTTGTAAATCTACTGAATAGATACCACTCATGTTAATGTCTTAGAAATGCGTAACTATCTGCGTTTTTTACTTTGGCTCCAAGGTGTTAAACCATGCAACCACCCACTCATTTCTATACCAATACTACTAAACAAGTTAATAACATGCAAAGAAAAAATACTGCATCCATGAAAAGAATTCTATAAATATTGTGATGAGGAAACAAGAATCAGTAATATGAGAGGTTGACCCTGGCTAGCAGCTAAACACCACACAGCTGCTCCTCCCTTGCAGCAGGACAGGAAGAGAACTGGAAGACCAAAAGTGAAAAAAACTTGTGGGTCAAAACAAAGGTAGTTAAGTAAGTGAAGGCAAAAAAGAAAATAAAGCAAGTGATGCAAAGTGGGAAAAAGATACAGCTTTGACACTGTGCAAGTACTGCTCAGCAACAGCCAAAAACACTGGTGTGTTATGAACCCTGTCTTAATCACAAATCCAAAACAAGAAAGAAATTGGCACCTTAAAATATTATCAGAGTATCATCAGTTTTCACAATGCCACAGATGGTCTACGACTTAATTTTATAAAGCTTTATTCATGGCTTCAAATGATAAAGCTCTCTTTCTCTTCGTTATCACTGTTTGCAATGCCAGATTTTGTAACACATAGCAAAAAAAGTAACATGTAATCAATAATATAGTTGCTTATGATACTATGAATTAGGTTAAAAGATAGTTATTGAACAAAGGTATTTTGTATATGCAATGTATAAGCAGATCACAAGAAATACGACTTATTAGTATGTTGGTGGTACTTTGTGTTGTAGGGTTATAAAGTTATGCAGTACTAATTGCTTTATCAGAACAAAAAGTCATCCTGCACACATGGGTTCCAACGGTTGAAAGATATTTGCAATTAAACAAGGAAAAAGACATTATGCAACCTCTGTAAAACTATTAGCACTGGCTATCACACAGCTTAATCACACACAAAGGCAAAAACCATCACGCCTGTCCCCTATTCCTCCCATCACCAAGTGCCAATACAGCAAAACGGAAGAAAAAAACAATTGGGACCAAACCCATGTGCATGAAGATTACTCTTGGAAAAAAAAACATTTCCTAGAGTAGGTCTTGATAAGGTGAACTGTTCTGAGAGTACTAATGCTACCATTTACTATTTCTTTGCTTTTGTATTTATTTCCTTGAACGATACTGACTGCAGCTGCCTAGATACATTTCTCTGAATGAACTGCTACCTGAAAGCCTGCCTGAATTTACAATACGCAAGTGTTCAGGAATCTCAAAAGCCAAGTCTCAATAAGCTTGAAAAACACTTCTTGTGCATTTTTTACTCCAATGATGTAAGCAGGAATTACAGTTGCTTACAAACAACTATTTTGAAAAGTCTTAGGTTCAGTGCGATGTCACAATTGTGCAAGTGCTCAATTCAGAGGAATTACTTTCGTTTTAATAGTTTGCAATATGTGAGCAATGAAGTGTAAGGCAAATGAAAATCAAATGAGATTTGGCTACCAAACATACACTGTCATGGTTCTTTTACTGTCGAGAGAACTTTTTCTTTTGAAGTATTTCTAAGAGGTAATACTGCTACAGTTTTATTTAGTTTCACTGAATCCAAGTGGCAACATCCCAAGGTACGAGGTAGAGAATTACTATTAACAAAGCCCATAAGGTAAAATAAAATATATTTGAATAAAAATAAGGTATACCGGCTATTTGTGATAACTCTGAGCAGAAATTTAGTACAGTCTGCACCCAGAGATGAACTCTAAACTTCAACAGTGCATATGTGCAAAATCTCCAATCAGAATTACATTACTGACAGACTAATGGAGAAAATAGCACTTTGGGCCATGCTTCCATTTGCCAACACCAGGAAAAAAATAGCTTGCTCATCCTCTTACTGCGTCTGCCCAGCCAGACATAACCTGAGAAATACTGGGGCAACTGCATGACCACTCCCATCCTCTCTGTGTCTTCTCTTATACACATTTGTTCTTAAAAAATTAAATTGAAAGGTCTAAGAAATTCTGAATATTTTTTACTAACCATTCATGACATATCAGTCTTTTGGTATGTTCTAATGTGAAAGATCTTCCCTGCTCATCAATGGTGATGTATTTTTTGTATTTTAGTCCAGAAACCTGCCAGTTACCTTTCTCATGGGCACTCATTAGTTTCACTTATTTGCTTCACTTTTATCTCATTTTTTGGCACATTTATTTTGCCATTAGGCAGCTTTCTACATGATGGAGAGTTCACCTTTTGGGGAAAAACACCAACCAGTAAATAAAAAAATCTCAATCTGTCCTTTCTTTAGTAACAATGAAAAATGAGTAATGGAAGGAAAAAAACCAACAATTTAAGAGCTAACACTATCACTTTAGTTCATAACACTGAAAGATATACCTGAAGTTCTAATTAGTCTTACAGGTCTTTCCATTTCATACTTTTCATTACATTCTCTTATGTCTTGGGACTATCTTTAGTAGTAACTATATTACAAATGTTACATATACACATTTTTTTCAAAGACAACATTTACCTAACACATCCTTATTACACAGTCATCTCACCTTTTTAGAAGATAGATTTGAATCTAATGTTGCTTCACATTAATATGTTAATTGAAACCCTATTTCTATGCACATACAAAGCATAAATTACTTTTCATTGTTAAGTAACTACATGAATCTTACAACAGAACACATAATGTAGCTAAAAATAGTTTTGCAGTCAAGAAAGAATAGCTACTATTTCGGAATATGCTTTCTTGCCATACAGGTATTTGGTTAAAAAGACTTCTCTGCAGTGCAATTTTAGGCAAGTGAAATGCAAATCTAAATGCAGATGAACAGTCTGTTTGTGTAGAACAATAGTGGCCAACTAAGTACTTTTCTAAATTCTGTATTAATTAAATATATATATATAAATAAACTAATTATTGAAAATTGTATAATTTCATTGACACCTATTAATACAAGACATAATGCAGTATTGAGCCAGCAATGCTCATTGGTTTCAGCCATTTTTAATTTCACACTATCAACTACATTATGATTGTTGCCTTTTTTTAAACATACACATTTAGCAAAATGTTTATGATTCATTACATCTCACATTTAAATTATTAAACCATTTGCTATCACTTTTTAAAACAGAGGTAGAACTGTAACAATGGCAAGGAAGGGGCAGTAGATATCTACATTTTTTTACACATAATGAATATTATGGCTCTTCAAAACTTACGTACAGATAGAAGAAAAATATTATTGTCACCTATACATCATTTATGTAAGAAAACCTCAAAGACCCAAAACATTTTTATTAAGTGTTTATAAATATTAGAATACATATCTTCACTGGAAAATGATCCCTAGAGGCTATTAGGCTTCTACATAAAGACAAAACCACTAGAGTTATCTCCACAAAATCCTTTAGTCACTTATGTAAAGTCTGTATAACATGTTTAAAGCCCCATTGCCACTTACCACAAGTGAAAGGGGCCTCTTCCATGAAACAACGCCAATCAATCCTGACAACAGCACCTGTAATAAACAGAGCAGAGTCACCAAAGAGACCTGAGATTTATCCCAGTACCATTTAAAAACAAGTATTAAGATGGAGTTTAATACAGTCATGCTGTGTATTTCCAGGGGGCTGGAAAAAACAAGTATTAAGATGGAGTCATGCTGTGTATTTCCAGGGGGCTGGAAACAAACTGCTGGAAAGATAATGTTTTAATGTTATTCTCAATTAAAAATAAACAAAAGTGTTACTAAGCTGTTTTTAAAATTAAATTCAATCTGGCTGACAGATCCAATCAGTTCTGATCAGATCATAAAGATCACAATAGGTCTTCAAACATTTTCTCTCCATGTTATCAGCACTAAAGGAGAATAAATGTTTTAGGTAAATTTACTTCTGGTCTCTAAGCATCACTGAAAATTACCTCACAAAAAGGGAACTAGAGATAGGACAACCACAAATTAGGCAGAGTATATGCCTAAATCAACAAAAGGTGGGTTATTCGGGTTTTTTTCATTCCACCCAGCTACCCAAACAACCACACTACTTGATCTTATGTCTGAAAACGCCCCCCCCCCTAGATTAAACATTTGTTTAAAACCTGTATTTAACCTACAGATACAAAACCCCCTCCACTACACACCAAAAGCAAGAATTCAGAGCTTGATGCATGTAGGTGATCTCATACTGCAAAGTAACAAGCAAGTTACAGCTGAGACACCATAGCTTTACACACAGTTAAAAACAGAGGAATCGGAGCAATGGGGTGAGGGATATTGACCATGAAATGGAAAAAAAAAAGGTGGGGATGAATGTTTTCGTTGGAATACTAAAATAAGAAAAAGGTAAACTAGATTACAAATAAAATGCAGATAAAAGAATACGTTATGTATTTATTTTCACCTCTGCTTGCGTGAAGACTACGTCTAAGAGTAACTTACCTACTTCGCTACTGTTACAATCATTATTAAATCCTCCTGTAATTGCTTAGAATAAGCTTTAATATAATTATTGTTCTCTACAGACCTTTGAGATTCAAAAGAGAGGAAGTCCAGAAACTAATTAGTACCCTTTTCCATGAAATTATATGCAAGGTTGGTTGAAATTAAAATGCCAGACAGTCATCACTCCCACTATGTCATGCTTTACTAGCAATCTTTCCAGTATTATAATAGTAGACCATAATAATTAAAAATGCATCTCTGTCTAGCAACTGCAGAAGCAATGTACACTGCACTGGGAATCAGGCTGGAAACTTGCCTACTGATGCTTGGCACGAATGTAGGAGAAAGAGCTGTTGGTTATATGGAGAATTTGGGTTCTGGAGTGCCCAGTTGAAGCTTTCACTGTATCTAGTCTGTGGACATTTATACTGTGAGCCTGTTTCAAACATATTTCACAACTTGATAATAGCCACAGCTACTGCAGGAAGACAGCATCGTGGAAAAGGCACTGTTTCATAGTAAAACTTCAATGTTAGTTTTTAAGTCAAGTACAAATGCAACAGATAAGAAGGCATAAACGCACATTAAAAAGTGAACCAAAATCAGGTTACAGATACCAAAGACTATGCAGATAAGCCCGACATGCAAATATGCATAGTTTGTATTCTACAGCATTCTCCTACAGCATAAAAGCTAGATATCAACTACATCATTCTGGATGTTGGCCAAGCCAGGGAAAAGCTGAGAATTCCATTTTTGCAGTTAATTAAATTTACTCACACAGCTGTGTTAGCTTATTATTACTGTATGATAACCCTCTCAGGGCTGATAGTTCTGTAATGCGAAACTGCTCTCAAGAAGGCAAAATGACAGGGTTAGCAAGCTTGACTGTAGGCTAGACAGCCACGTGCTCTCAATTAAATAAATGGGATGGCTGAAATTGAGAAGTTATTAAAGAAAACCCTTTAGGAAAAACAAGAAACTCCTTTCCAAAACAGTATATGTATTGATGCAAAAAATACTCATACATAAGCCAGTACTTCTCAATAAAGAAGTCACATGTTCTGAGTCAAGATATTCTAGTGTGCTACCTGTGAGTAGCAATTCCTTGCTTTCGTTTACTGTGCTACCTCCCTGTTAAACCTCTCCCCTCCTTTCTGACATATCTATGTATGTGGCACTGTACATTCCTGAAGATGGAAGAATGGAGCTGATCCTTTTTGTTCAGCTGAACTACAGCTGTGTCTGACCTTTACAAAGGCCTTTCAAGCTGAAAGAGGTACACATGTTCTGTCTGGAAAGAGAGCTTTGTGGCACTCACCCTACTGGCTCACCACGCAAAAGGTCAAGCACAGTCAGGCCATTTGATAAACTCTATATGCACTGATGACAGACACTAAAACTCTTGTGTTCCACCTATGTCTTTAATATCGTCATTGTAAGAGTTCACCTCAACAATGTTGTAATGTAATTTTCCAAACCTCATTAGACCCCAATATTGCTTTAACCAAAAGCTTCTTTTGATTGAGATGCAGTAACTTCCAGTGCCAAGTACCTTCGATACTTTAGACCACCAGTAAACACAACTATATAATTAAGAAAAAAGGACACAGATAACATCACATACCAGCATTTGTTAGGATACACCAAATGACCATAAAAAGAGAAATCTAAAGATTTCTCTTGGGCTTGCAGAAGACCAGGAATTTTAAAATAAATAAAACCCCAAACAAACCATCCTTCCTTAACATCTTCTCTTCAGTTTTTACCTCTTATAAACGCAGTGCCAATATTGAATAAAGTAAATAGAACCACACCTGGCTTATATACAAAAGTAGGAATTATTTGAAAACAGTATGTAACTTACAGGCCCAAAAGACTTTATAATAATCACTCAGACTATCTCATGGCTACTCCAACAGAAGCAGTGAAACTCATACTTGATTTCACAAGGTTAAGTGCCAAGAAACATAGGCACAAGATAAGCGAGTTATTTTTATACCAGTAATTGAAACATTGTTATTTCCTAAATACCTATAGCTCATTGTTGCAATCTGTAGGTCTTCTAATGTTTTTCACTACGCCATATGTAAGCTGTGCAGAGGTTTTTTCTTTCTTAAACAAATAGTAAATAGGAGTTTGATCATTTTAACATGTCTAGTTAACTTTGGCAACACGTTTCAGAGCCTGCGTAGCACGTTTATCTAACATCTCAGACCTAACTTCTATCTGCTAAATAGGACTGAATCCAATCCCTCCATCACATAATCATCAAAGCTACTAAAAAACATGTTCAAATAAAAGCAGATTTGCCAGCTTCCTTAATCAAAATTCTTACAGATGCATGAACCTATTCACTATAAAAACAGAATGCACCAGTATTGACTATAAATGCAGTAACATTAGGTATGAACACCTTTCAACAAGCATATGAAAACTCCCTTATCGTCAATGTAAAGTGTGCTCATGCATGAAAAAGATGCATTTACTTTAATAGGCACATACTGAGGCAGAACAAAAACAGAAGGTAAAATTACTTTCCAGTAGAAGGGACTGCAAACAAAGGATTTTTTTGAAAAAGCCCTTGGAGTCTTTTCCAGCATTTTCAACCCTCCACACTCAGGTAAGTCTCTACAAATTTAGAGGACAGAAATTTATAGGAAACTTATGGAACGGATCAGATGATGCAGTCTCTTTATATATCTTAAAAGCATTTGCCTTCCAAGACTTCATCTCCTAAAGTATTATTGTACATAATACACTCTCTTGTACACTTCCTTTAAACGTCTTTTACTTTGGCGACACTAAATGAAAAACCAAAGACAAATTTCAGTTACACACGGTATTACTGTGATTGCAAACAGACTTGTGATCACAGAAGCATCAGCAAAATTTATATGGCCATGAGCACTAAATGTACATGTTTATAGATTTTTATGCATATACTTTCAAAAATGTATGATAACCTCAAAACCAGTCTGTCCACAGACGCACTCCATGACCTACCAAACTCCCTCTCTGTCCCGATGGGGTTTTTTTTTCACCACCCCCCCCCCCCCCCCAAATATGCCCAGTCTGAACCTCTCTTATTTCAATTTACACCCAATACCTCTTGTCCCTCAATGTGCTGCTGTAAAGAGCCTGAAATTAAGAACAGTAAATCAGCACAATTACAAAAAAATCTTCAATTTGCATCTCAAACTAAATGTAAAATATAGCCTGCAAAAATATTACTTGCCATGCTTTCTTAAGAAAGGCTTTTTTGCTATTTAAAAGCAGATTTGTCAAGCTGGTATGTATGCAAAATAGCAAGACAAAAGGTAACAAAACTAGTGTCAAAGAAAGGAATACCTTTATAAATGAGGAAAAATTCATACAGCTGTCAGTCATCTTTTATTATTCTTAACAACAGGCGCTGAGATGTTGTTCAGATACCATAAATCACCCCTCGTCACAATTTCAGGACTTGCAGTTTTCTGGAACTTAAATGACTTTTTTTTTTTTTTCTTCCAAGAAGTTAACTAGATCAGCTGTCACTACCATTATTCTTCAGTAAGCCCAAAGATATGTTTACATTTTGGTATTGTATTTAATCTGCTGTACTCAAAGTAGAATAAAAAAATGCTGTATGTTGATGTGAGTTTCTGTCCTATTGTTACATCTCTTGTGAACAGGTCTTCCCCACCCTTCTTATAGGCTCCTTTCAGGAACTGGAAGGTCAATGTCCCCACCAATCTTCTCTTCAGGCTGAACAACCCCAACTCCCTCCTTGTCTTCATAAGAGAGGTGCTCCAGTCCTCAGATCATTTTTGTTGCTCTCCTCTGGACACACTCCAACAGGTCCACATCCTTCCTGTGTTGGGGCCTCCAGAGCTCGACACAGTACTCCAGGTGAAGTCTCACCAGGGCAGAACAGAGGGGCAGAATCATCTCTCTTGATCTGCTGGCCACACTTATTTTGATGCAGCCCAGGATGCAGTTGGCCTTCTGGGCTGCAACTGCACATTGGTGGGTCATGTCCAGCTTTTGATTCATTAGTACCCCCAGGTCTTTTTCTATAGGGCTGCTCTCTAGCATGTCTTCCCCCGGCCTGTATTCACATCTCTGGTTGCCCAGGCTCAGGTGCAGGACACTGCACTTGGCCTTGTTGAACATCATGAGGTTCATCTGGGCCCACTTCTCTAGCTTGTCCAGGTGCTCCAGGCCTTTGATCATCTTGGTGGCCCTTCTCTGGACCCTTTCCAACAGGTCTATATCTTTCTAGTGCTGAGGGCACCAGAACTGTACACAGTACAGTTAGAGATTATATAGAGACTCAGCTCAGACACTAGGACTTTCTAAGGCTGTAGATATTTCAATATTGGTAGAACAGGTAGATTACAGAATTCCCATCACCAGGTTTTCTTAACAACACATCAGACAACAAGCCATCAAGGTGCATCAGGCAGAACCAGGCATAGCACAACTAGGCAGACATGCAAGGCAGTTGACTGGACAGAGCTGAGCAAATGAGGATGCCTGATTGACAGTGCCAAAGGAAGTAAATCCCAGCACTGCCAGTATCATCTAGTTCATGCTGTCAGTAAAGTGCTACAGCAACTGTTTCTCTTCACAACTGCCTGAAACCCCTGATACTTTCCAAGGTTCCCCTCTCTCCTCTACCAACATACAAACCCTTGCAAGGTTTAATTTTGCCATCTCAAATGTTCCTAGAAGGGTGAAGTTCAGTTGTACCTGAACAAATACAAGGTATTGATATCCTTAACTAGCTTGGGTCTAGGAGCACCTCACAGCTGAAGTACTTTCAAGGATGATGTTTCTGTAACATCTACAGTAGACCTTGTAACAGGTAGATAATTATTTCAGAAAGTGCAAGTATTAAATATTGCAGGAGTAATTCCACCAATGGTGCATACTCAGAGACTACAAAAGTATGCCACATTAGTACCAGAGTGCAAAAAAAACCACCATATAATACTACTACCTGCAGCATCTGCAATCCATTACTGCAAAATTATGGTAAGTGAATACAAGCTACAGGAAAAAGAACTCAGAAAGCATGGAAATTAGCTAAAAGGGAACTAGAAAATCTACCAGTAATATTACTCTCCATACCAATTCCTGGAAAAATAATGACGATGAAAATATATTGGGGTGGGAATATATTAACAAGTATAGAAAGAGGAAAAAAAATTGAATATGTATCTCTATATTCATACACACACACATAAATGGACAAATACAGAACAATGGTATGATTATGGAATGGTCTTTCAAATAAGTCATCCTAAATAGTGGGTGCTGATAAAAATCATACCATTCCACCACATTGAAAATACTGCAAAAAACAGTAATGGGCTAAAGAACTTTTAAAAAAGCTATTTATTTGCAGATACGCAAACTGACTCGACATGCAGCTATCATTAGAATCCAGGGACCATTCTCTTGTTGAAAGACTACATCCCTGTGAAAACATAGAGCACAAGTACTACCAGACTGCCTAAAAAGACCCACACACTGCAAGACAAATACAAGCAAGTCAACAGCAATCAAAAAAGCAACAACTTAAGCACATATTTGAGCTGTTTTCTGAAAAGACTCAGTATGTTCCAGACTCTCAAACACTGCCATCATAGCTTAGTCTTTCTCATTTACCCACTATGAACCTAAAACTAATCTAATTGCCATGGAAACAGGCGCAGAGAAATAAAAATCCTTCAGTACCCACAAGAACAGGACACTAAAATTACCTACACATTGACACAGCTATCAGAATGTATTAACAGGATGCAATTTTAATTTCCTTTTAAGCTCTAGGGTGAGCTTTTTTGATTTGACTATGTTTTCTTATGAAATACACTCCATACCCCTGATAAATCTGGTGTTTTTGTAGGAAAAGGTTTAATACAAGAAGATATTTTTTCCTTTGACATAAAGAAAAAACAAGGGCTAATGGAGCACATATACATCAGAATAATGTATTTTCAATTACGAATAAAAATCTAATGTTCTGTATGTTATTCTTCCAAGTGGTTCAGATCTGTTATGCTCAACTACAATATGCCAACAGTATTAAAAGAAATGGACAGGGATTTAGATAAGATATTAAGTACAGAGATGATACCTCAGTGACTTACAGTACATTCTTATCTCTAATCTGGTTTTTATTTAACACATTCACAGAACACACCATTACAATATCGTATACATCCCATAATGTAAGCCTTGAGCATTCATCAGGCACAGAGCCATTAGCATAAGAGTATTGAAACAGAAAGGAACCTAAGCAGTTTGCAACCAATCCTTCACACTCTGAAGATCAGATCAACTCTGGATACCTTATCAATCCTTTGAAACAGGAAGGTTTTACTGAGGCAGCAGTCAAAAGCTTAATTAAAACACAGTGAACCAAATAAATCAGTGAAATTAGAAGCAGTTTGTCCAGTATGAGAGATATGTGTACAGGTATTGTACATTCAAGTATTAATGTTTTCTCATCTGAATATTTGTTTTCTTGGCCTTTATATGCACTCCATAGCATAGCTTTATAAAGATAATTTCTATGAGGGCAAAGCTTCCAAGCCTAAAAGTATACCAAGTTTATTTTCCCAAAATACTGGTGCATTTTAAATTCTTTATAATTTAATTATAGCTAAATTTCTTCAAGGGCTCAGAATGTGAAAACTTTATCTTAACTCTAGCAATAAAATATTCCATGATTTTTCCATTACAAAGGCAAAGCTATTACCCAGCTATGAGGACTTAGTTTTCAGAATTTTCATTTTATGTTTCAGTAACAAAAAAAATAAATAAATTATGGTATCTTGTCACAGTGATAAAGAAAAAATATTGTGATAAATCTCTTCAGACATTTCCTAATCTGTTTTCACACCATCTTGACTTGTATCATTGACTCCCTACAGAATACTGTTCTATAAATGTTGTTTTCCAGTGAAGTCAGGAAATCACTGATCAGATTTTTGCTGCTGGGCTCTTCCAATAATTATAAGAATGAAGACTAAGATTGCTTTAGATAAGTAAAATGAGACGATGGCTCTTTTAATTACTGACACAATTTCTCAAGGGATGACAACTGAGGTGGATTGTAAAGTGCTCTAAACATAAGGAATTACAGTATTTTCTTTGTCCAAGTGCAGTGCTTCTGCATAACATTATTACACTGTAAGCTCCAATCTTCCAGTTCCATAGATAGTTTGAAGCTACATTCTTAACTGCATTGCCGCAAGGGCACACAATAAATGTTAATCAAAAAGTAATAAACCTCATATTCTAATGAGCACAATTAGCGATCTGCCTCAGGGCCACGCTACTGGATAGAAGAAAAGGTTAAGGGCACACAGGCTGAGGCTAGAGATAGAAAGAGACAGTGTTTATCTGTCATAAATTTGTAATATTTGCCCTATCTCTGTCATGAGCCTACTGACTTTGGTCACACTTTTGGTGAAAGCCACCTACACTACTGCATTTATCACCTTTTTTAAAACACCCTTCCCATACATTTATAACCACGACACACTGTTAGTCATCATATCCAAAATGGTGCTTAAGAAAGGACAAATGAGTTTGCATAACCACGAGTATAGTAACAGGAGAGATAGATGCTTTCCAAACACCCTGGCAATCCAAGCATTCTAAAGATTAATTTCATGTCTCTGACATCATGTATCTATCTGGTAATTTTAAAAGTAATTATTCTCAAAGGATCCCACTATCCTAGAAAGTATATTGAAGGTGATTTATTACTATTAATTAGCAGAACTAATACATCCGAAGCCTAAAGTGTTTCTCTTACTTGAATTTAAAATTTTTGTTCTTAGAAAAACAATTGGTATAACTATTAAAGAAATTACATATTAACAATAAGAAGTCTTCTTAATTATCGGGAACTCAACTAATCTGTACCTTAAGGTTAAGCTGTTAAATAAAACATAGTAAGGCAAGAAATACTTTAAATCAGAGGTAGCAAGGACACTAATAAGACTCACTCCAAAGACTTTGCTCCAGAATCATCAAGTCTATGTGATACTTCCCAGACAAGATAACAGAGTCAACTGCCACTTAATATGATTTAAAGATACAAATGCAGGTACTTTCCCTCAAGTTAATTCTATATAAATTTT